TATGAAGAAGAATTTGACCCATTCTTTCGCTATGAAATACCTGCCACCCATCTGTATTTTGGGAGATCAGTAAGCAAAGATGTGCTTGGCCGTGTGGGAATGACATGCCCTAGACTAGTTGAACTAGTAGTATGTGCAAATGGATTACGGCCACTTGACGAAGAGTTAATTCGCATTGCAGAACGTTGCAAAAATTTGTCAGCTATTGGACTAGGGGAATGTGAAGTCTCATGTAGTGCCTTTGTTGAGTTTGTGAAGATGTGTGGTGGCCGCCTATCTCAATTATCCATTATGGAAGAAGTACTAATTCCTGACCAAAAGTATAGTTTGGAGCAGATTCACTGGGAAGTGTCCAAGCATCTTGGTAGGGTGTGGTTTCCCGACATGATGCCCACTTGGTAAAAACCGCATGATGTAGGGCATGATGAATAGCACCTTAACTTCAAGCAAATGTATTATAATAAAAGTTTTATTTGCTGTAGTTCTGATATAATTCTACTATTTTGTGGCACAGAAATTTGATATCTTCAGTCAGTTTATGTAAAGATTGTTTATTGGAAGACCCATGAATGAGTTTTGGTCAGAAAACTCCATTTGTTTCCTTAGGGTAATAGCAATCATATCTCCGAATTTTTTTAAATGTGGTTCAGATGTAAAAGTAATAACCAGTTATACATGTTAAACAGTTTACAGTCTAAAGGAAACAAAACCTGTATGTTATAATATCCAAGAAGTACTAATAGGTTTTCTGAAATGTTATATTCTCTATGCATTTAAAAAAAATGTAAACTTGACATTTTAGGGTCTTCAGTTATACATACACCTGTTATAAGGTGTTTAATATAGCTCAGGAAAGTGAGCATTTTGTGAGAAAAATGAATTTATTGTATCTAATGAGAAAGATTGGATGAATGTTCTCAAATGTTACAAAGCTGTTAAAAAGGTATATATAAGTAATCGGAACACTTAGAAAACTGATAAATGTCACACAGTGGTATTATAGAAGGATAATACAGAGCCAAGATCAAATTAAAAGACAATAAATGGAACAGAAGGGAGGCAATGTTTAGCTTTGTATAAACTTTTAGGTTTGCTCTGTAATCTGCTAAACCATATACATTCTTTTGTGATATGTTACCATGTATGTGGCACTTGAGGCACTGTATGTAAAGTAAGGAATGCTTTACTAGTTCTCCTTTGTTTTATCTTTGTTTAAACTAGCTTTGAAGTATTAAACAATAATTGAAATGAAAAGCTTATCTATTTTAAAAAGCCAAATTTAAATAAATATAGAACTTTAAAATGTTTATCAGTTGTTTCCATGAAAGAATATTAGTTTCCAGTAAATTTTAGTGATGGCTCACTCATTTTTCCGTTTTGGAATTACATAGTTATATAAGTAGAATTTTTAAAACTCATAAAGGGAGCACCATTGTACAGTCTAGCATAAAAAGCAAATTTTAAAGAGGATATATTTAAGTTCATAATCATTTTTCAGTAAATATTGCTCAGTGAACTGGAAAACTTTAATAGAAAAATGTCTGCAGTTTTGTGATTGTTAATTTGGTTAAACTGATATTTTATATTATTTAAGTTAGGTAACATTTTATATTACTTTCATATGAATAAAGGTAATCCATGCATTGTAGAGCCTAAAAATGTTGTGTTTTTTTAGATGATATAAACTTTGATTCTGGGCACTAGTGCTAGTAGATATTACTGCCCTTCTGAGGGAAATCAGAAGTGATTTACCCCCAATGGAATACATTAATTCTCGAAGTGGCTCCTTTCAGTAGTGTGACTTTTAGAAAATATCTCAGTAGTTAAGGAAGCTAACAGTCTTAGATCTTTTAAAATGGATGACCTTCTTAAGAATAAAGCAAAAGGTGATTTTCTACATAATTTATGCTTTCCAAAAGTGATATGCTCTCCTGCAGCAACATATAAGTGAGAAGAAAAAAGGCTTATCTAGACTCGAAAATTAAAAGCAATTATAGTAATATTTCCCCTCCTCCTAAATAGTAAAAAGCTCTGATTGTACAAGAATTACCTGTGCTAGTCAAGTTTTTTTTCCTTGAACAACTTTGGAAAAATGGATTTGACAGTACATAATCAGTTCTAACCAAAGCTTGTATTTGGAAATTTACTTTTTGTACAAATTGAATTATATAATGCTTAAAATACTTTAATTCACTTTATAAGCAAAATGCATAGTACTTAATTTGTTTATACTGTAAAGTATATGTTAAATGCTTTTATCACTTTGAGAATAAAAAGTTACTAATGCTGTTGTATTTTACTTTTTAAAAACTACACATATTTGACTTTAAACTTAAAAATGTTTCAAATCCATATTTGATGGATATAATATTTAATATTAAACAATGTTTATGATAGACTTGCTTTTTTGAAGATACGAGGTTAAGTTCATGGAACCTGTTCTTGAAATAAAGTCTGATGCCTAAAGAAATAGGAAATTTAAAACCTACCATGAAATACAAATTTTTAAATGTTTATACAGAAAATAAGGAATGGGTTCTTTCTGCATTCAGAATGAGAACTTATAAAACACATTATTTAGACAAAGAATTAGTCTTTAAGGGTCCTAGAACCCAACCAGTCTTTTTAGAGATAAATGTCTTTATATAAATTAGAATAGTTTTCAACTACTGAAATTATTTTCATTGTCTTCCTGGCTTTCAATTTGGTAATTTAGGCTGTTTTAACCATATCAGAAAAAATAGGTATGATTGAAGATTAAGTCAATTTAGTGCATTTAAAGAACCTTTTTGTATTTTTGGGAAAGTTTAGGCTGAAAGGAAGGAGTTTGTGTGAAGAAGGTTCAAGCCTTCACTAGGTCTTTTAACACACTATAGTTAATCTCTACCCCACACATAGATGATAATCTTTTCACAGACTCCAACCCCAGTTTGTGGGGCTGGTTTTAATTTTTACCAGGCAGGAAAATTCCAGCTGCTCGCTGACACCCAACTTTAAAAAGGGCACAAAGCCTTTTACTCCAAAAGTGAAATAAGAGCTTATCCTTAGAATAATCAGTCCAATAAAAGGATAAATAATCCTAACTTGTTTTAAATAGGAGAGAAAATTTTGAAAGGAAGGTTTGAAGAGCAGGAAACTACTTGGATGATAAAGGGGAAATAATGACGAGGATGCTAGAAACACTGGCCAGCCTGTTTGTGAAGAGGGAAAAAGCATGTGTGTAGTTTTGGAACATCACTCTTTGTATAGCCTGCCAACAATTTATTTAAAACAAATCTTACAGGAACTGTAATCCCAGGTAATTCAGTAAGTGCCACCACAGCAGACCATAAAACTGGATAAGACTTCCTAAGACTTGATTTTTTTCTTGAATTTTTAAGGAGCCGCCAATATCGAGGGTTCCAAATAAAGTTTAGTAGACTTTTTCACTGTCCGTTTTCCTCTACCTGCAACAATATATTAGACGACACTTTGTGGGTATACTTACCTAATTTTGAGCCAGATTAGTGAGAGGATATACTCACTGTAAAGCCCCAGTCAGACAAAAAATACATAAATTTTAACATCTACAACATTTTTTTGAGACAGTCTCACTCTTTTGCCAGGCTGGAGTGCAGTGGTACGATCCCGGCTCGTTGCAACCTCCACCTCCTGGATTCAAGTGATTCTCCTGCCTTAGCCTCCCAAGTAGATGGGACTACAGGCATGTGCCATCACGACCAGCTAATATTTGTATTTTTAGTAGAGACGAGGTTTCACCATGTTGGCCAGGCTGGTCTCAAATTCCTGACCTCAAGTGATCTGTCCACCTTGGCCTCCCAAAGTGTTAGGATTACAGGCGTGAGCCACCACGCCCACCCTACAACAGCAGCAAAATAGAAACTGCATTTAAGTTGTACTTAAGTTATAATTAAAGTAAATCACATTACATCATATTGTTCAAAGGGCAGCAAAACTTAATTGGCAGATGTCTGCATGGCTATGTTTTGGTTTCTCAACTATTTTGAAAGCATGTTCTTGAATCATCTTTATCTGAAAGCTCTACATCTTGTAAGTAGAGTTGACAGGTTTAATTCTTAAGAAATACTTTTGTAAATGTTAATGCTGTCTATGCTGTAGTTACCTGAATCTATGGTGCTTTCTGTCTTCATTTAATTAAGATTCTTAGGAACAATGAAAAATCATGGTTTTTTTTGAGACGGAGTCTCGCTCTGTTGCCCAGGGTGGAGTGCAGTGGTGCCATCTCAGCTCACTGCAAGCTCTGCCTCCTGGGTTCAAGTGATTCTTCTGCCTTAGCCTCACATGTAGCTGGGATTACAGGCACGGGCCACCACGCCCAGCTTTTATTTATTTTTTTTTTTTTTGGTAATTTTAGGAGAAACGGGGTTTCACCACATTGGCCAGGCTGGTCTTGAACTCCCGACCTTCAGCGATCCTCCCACTTCAGTTTCCCAAAATGATGGGATTCCAGGCATAAGCCACTGTGCCTATCCAAAAATCTTGAATGCTTTTTTCACATAACTATTAGAATGTTGTTTAAAAATTCCAGGTACAGATGTCCTCATTTGTTTTTCCTACATAACCAAGTTCTTTATTTGCAGTTGACCAAAACTTGGTACAAGAATCTTTGTCTCTTCAAGGCAGTTCTGGAAATCCAAAATCCTGAACTGTTTTTCCAGAGCAATTTTCCTAAGAGTTTGGCAGACGTTCGTGTTGCCTGAGTTTAGCCACTAGATGGTGATAATGCACAGATCCAAGTTTTCTTGTGACATTGTAAAGACAATTAGCAGGTTAAAGAGGCAGTATTAATTTGGAATGTTTAGGCATTATTATCAGGAGTAGACAGGCTAAATAGGAGGTGTGAAAGAAAGTTCTCCCTCTGTATTTGAGGAAGATACCTGGTGACTGGGTTATTTTCAGACTGTTGTGGAACTACAGTTGAAAAAAAAAAAACAGTAAAAATGAATTCCTAGACAAAATAAGACCAAAGACACATAAAATACAAGCTCCAATTTTTTTAATTAGACCCAACAGAAACAAAAACACTCCAACAAATTGCTTTAAAAGTTTATAAAAGCTTCCTGTCAGTATCTGTACTTATTTCCTCACAGACTAGTAACATCTGGTTGGCAGGCACTGGTCTGAGGACCACACTTTGGTGCTAAAAAGCCTGTACTATAGTGCATCCAATTCAGTCAGCAGAACCTGGGTTCAAGACCTGACTTCATTACTACTAGCTGGGTAGCCAGAGAAAGATCACTTAGCCTTTCTAAGGTCCAATTTACTCATTTGGATCAGGCTAATTACATCTATGATTAAGCTTTCTATGAGAGCTCAGTAATAATGTACTAACCTCTCAGGAAGCACTTGAATATCAGCTGAAACTGAATCACATAATTGGTACATTTACATATTAAATGTGAATTGTTTTCTCGGACATCCACTCCATCTTCTTACTGACTGGTGTTTTATCCTTGAATAGAAACGTGTTCAGTTGATCATCAAATACTTAAAGGACCTTGAAAGCTTGTCTGGCTCTAATGAAAGCACAGCTGAACTCGGACCGAAACCTGTCCTCTCTCGGAGATGTGCAACCTCTTCCACTGCGCTGACAGCTTTGTGGGAAGAGGGAGAACTACAGGAAACAGTGAGGAAGTCAGACGCTGCCTGTTTACGCAAACATGTCTGCAGCCATATACCTGCACACCCCGGCTGGAAGAACGGCGGAAGCACTTTGCCATCAGCTTAAAGTCTAGGTGACTACAAAACCCGGGAAGGTCTGGCACATAAACTACATGAGGCAAGATCAAGGATGACAATTTGTTCTTTGATATTATCACTGCCATTCACTGTGACCTGCCAAACATATACAACTTCCATCTTTACAGCAATCCTAAATCCTAGGATTTAGTGATGTTAGGTTGCTTAAATAACACAAGCCAGTTACTAGCTAGTTCCAAAATGCCAGCCAGAAATGTGTGTTAACACTGGATTTGCCACATCTAGAAGCACAACCACTCCAGTTACGGTTTCTAAACGAATCTCTAAAGTTATGTCAATGGACTGTAATCAGACTATACTAAACTTGGTTCCAGAAGTTATAAAAGTTGTAAAGTCAGTCTAAACTAAAGCACTTGAGTGAAAAAGTGTAACTGCCATACCAGAAAAAAGAGCTCCCATCATGAAAATGTCACTGAAGGTATTTTTTTTATTTTTGAAGGTATTTTTAAAATCTCGGCACATCATATCTATCTGTGGGACCTTGGGTCCAAAGGTCCTACATAACTGATATGAACCATAATTCTCTGTATTAACAAAGGCTCGGAAATTGAAACCAAGATCACTTAACTTGCTCACTTTGGCCAATATAGTATGAATTTCAGTTTCTTTCCAAGAGAAAAGTCCTGAGATGTTAATATGCAGCAGTTCTGCTGATGTGCATTTTAACTTCCTGCACCAAGGAAGAAAAGCTAAGAAATTCACAAAAGTAAAATCAGCCCCTGAAAAACAGATGCTGGTGATTGGCGAAAAAAGAGCAGTAGAATTAAGGTGTTTTATAAACCAGAGAGTGTTTTGTTTTTGTTAGGTAAAGGGATTTCTTCATATGTTATTTTGATAAAAGGGAATTTCATAGGTAAAAACCAATATTCAAAATTATAAAACAAATAGAACTCTCTGTGCACAATCACTGCATCAAAAATTTGCAAGAGATTCAACAGAAATTCTTTAGTTGACAAATGTGGTTTGAAGGGGTAATAAAATCTTTTTATGGCTAAACCAAGAGTCTTGTTTCCTGTTGGCCCAAAAACAGATGTTTCATTTCCCAGATAAGTAGGTTCTCCACTGTAAAGAAATATTCTTGTATAGTTCGTTTCTATGTTCTTGAACTCTGCTCCAAATTCAGCCAACTTGCTAAAGGTCCTTAACACAAACTGGGAACAGTCGTAGGAATCAAACCATGTCTCTGCCCCTTTTTCTGGGCTGGCTTTTACATTCCATGTCTCGTAATAAATTCCTGTTTCATTGTCCTGTTTCACCCACTTTGCCATTTGATTGAACATGTTTCCTAGTTCAAAAAAACAAAACAAAGTCACCTAGTGAACGAAGCTAATCATGTTAATTTTTTTTTTTTTTTTTTTTGAGTCAGGTCTCCTCTGTTGCCAAGGCTAGAGTGCGGTCGTACAATCACAGCTCACTGCAGCCTTGACCTCCCAGGCTTAAGTGATCCTCCCACCTCAGCCTCCTGAGTAGCTGGGACTACAGGTGCGGGCCACCAAAGCCAACTAATTTTTTACTTTTTTTTTTTATTTGAGAACAGCCTGGGCAACACAGGGTCTTGCTGTACTGCCCAGGATGGTCTCAAACTCTCAGCCTCAAGTGATCCTCCTGCTTCAGTCTTCTAAAGCACTGGGATTATAGGTGTGAGCTACCATGCCTGGCCTAATCATATTAATTTTAAGTAAAATGTTCTAACTTGATTAAGACTATGCATGCGTGTGAGTAAACAATGGTTTTGGATTTCCACACCTATGAAACCAAAAAAGAGCCCGCATTGCCAAGACAGTCCTAAGCCAAAATGCTTAGGACTGGAGGCATCACACTACCTGACTTCAAACTATACTACAAAGCTACAGTAACCAAAACAGCATGGTACTGGTACCCAAACAGAGATACAGACCAATGCAACAGAACAGAGTCCTCAGAAATAATACCACACATCTACAACCATCTGACCTTTGACAAACCTGACAAAAACAAGAAATGGGGAAAGGATTCCCTATTTCATAAATGGTGCTGGGAAAACTGGCTAGCCATAAGTAGAAAGCTGAAACTGGATCCCTTCGTTATACCTTATACAAGAATTAATTCAAGATGGATTACAGACTTAAATGTTAGACCTAAAACCATAAAAACCCTACAAGAAAATCTAGGTAATACCATTCAGGACATAGGCATGGGCAAGGATTTCATGTCTAAAACACCAAAAGCAACGGCAACAAAAGCCAAAATTGACAAATGGGATCTAATTAAACCAAAGAGCTTCTGCACAGCAAAAGAAACTACCATGAGAGTGAACAGGCAACCTACAGAATGGGAGAAAATTTTTGCAATCTACTCATCTGACAAAGGGCTAACATCCAGAACCTACAAAGAACTCAAACAAATTTACAACAACAAAAAAAAAACCATCCAAAAGTGGGCAAAGGATATGAACACACATTTCTCAAAAGAAGACATGCATACAGCCAACAGACACATGAAAAAATGCTCGCCATCACTGGCTATCAGAGAAATGCAAATCAAAACCACAATGAGATACTATCTCACACCAGTTAGAGTGGCAATCATTAAAAAGTCAGGAAACAACAAGTGCTGGAGAGGATGTGGAGAAATAGGAACACTTTTACACTGTTGGTGGGATTGTAAACTGGTCCAACCATTGTGGAAAACAGTATGGTGATTCCTCAAGGATCTAGAACTAGAAATACCATATGATCCAGCCATCCCATTACTGGGTATATACCCAAAGGATTATAAATCATGCTGCTATAAAGACACATGCACATGTATGTTTATTGCAGCACTATTCACAATAGCAAAGACTTGGAATCAACCCAAATGTCCATCAGTGACAGACTGGATTAAGAAAATGTGGCACATATATACCATGGAATACTATGCAGCCATATAAAAGGATGAGTTTGTATTCTTTGTAGGGACATGGATGCAGCTGGAAACCATCATTCTCAGCAAACTATCGCAAGAACAGAAAACCAAACACCGCATGTTCTCACTCATAGGTGGGAATTGAACAATGAGATCACTTGGACTCTGGAAGGGGAACATCACACACCAGGGCCTATTATCGGGAGGGGGAGGGGGGAGTTATACCTGATATAAATGATGAGTTGATGGGTGCTGACGAGTTGATGGGTGCAGCACACCAACATGGCACAAGTATACATATGTAACAAACCTGCACGTTGTGCACATGTACCCTAGAACTTAAAGTATAATAAAACAAAACAAACAAACAAAAAAATGTGACCCAAGTCACATAAGGAGTTACCAATGGAAGAGTTGCTGAACTCTTTTCATTACTAACCAACAATGCAGCATGTGCAACAAAATTCTAACTTTCGGCAACTTTCCAATACATCCAAAAGAAGAAAAAAATCTCAAAGATAAAATATTTAAACTGCTCAAGAGGGCCTCAAATATAAGATCATATACATTTTGGGAGGCAATGTATCAAAGTAGTTAGGAGAATGGGCAATGGGGCGTAACTGCCAGGGCTAGAGTCCCACTTACTAAGCTGTGTAACCACTCTATGCCTCAGTTTCTCCATCTGTAAAATGGGCAAAATAATAGTAACTACCTGCAGAAGTTGTGATGATGAATGATGTGATATATGTACAGTACTCAGAACAGTGCCAGAACCAGTTTATATTAGTAGCTATTATTTTTCATCATAAAAATATCACTAAAATTTTTTCAGATATAGTTAACATATCCTTTAATCAGGCATTTTATGGATTTCTCTTACTATTTCGTTTAGAAAGTCCAATTTAATTGTACAAAATGTTTTATCATTTTATTCATTTTTATGATAGGAAAAGAGCATTTTTAGGGAGAAATGCAAAGATCAGAGATACACTACTCATCACCTACAGGTGAAGTTCTGCATGAGTAATAGTTTGGGTCAGAGTTTAGCGGTTCCACCAAAAGCAAATGCAACAAAAACAAAGATAAATAGATGAGACTTAATTCAACTAAAAAGCTTCTGCACAGCAAAAGGAACAATCAGCAGAGTAAACAGACAACCCACAGAGTGGGAGAAAAAAACAGACAACCAACAGCGTGGAAGAAACTCTTTGCAATCTACACATCTGACAAAGGACTAATATCCAGAATCTACAAGGAACTCAAATCAGCAAGAAAAAAACAATCCCATCAAAAAGTGGGTTAATGGCTGGGGAGTGGTGCTTCACTCCTTTAATCCCAGCTCTTTGGGAAGCCGAAGTGGGCGGATGACCTGAGGTCAGGAGTTTGAGACCAGCCTGGCCAACATGGCAAAAACAAATCTCTACTAAAAATACAAAAATTAGCTTGGCATGGTTGCGGGCACCTGTAATCCCAGCTACTTGGGAGGCTGAGGCAGGAGAATCGCTTGAACCCAGGAGGTGGAGCTTGCAGTGAGCCGAGATCATGCCATTGCATTCCAGCGTGAGCGACAAGAACAAAACTCCACCTCAAAAAAAAAAAAAAAAAAACAACAACAAAAGGGTGGAGGGTTGCTAAGGACACAAATAGACAATTCTCAAAATAAGATACATAAATGGCCGACAAACATGAAAAAATGCTCAGGAAAATGCAATGCAATGATGAGGGAAATGCAAATCAAAACCACAATGTGATACCACCTCACTCCTGCAAGAATAGCTGTAATCAAAACATAAAAAAATAATAGATATTGGCGGGATGTAGTGGAAAGGGAACACTTCTACACTGCTGGTGGAAATGTAAATTAGTACAACCACTATGGAAAACAGTGGAAATTCCTTGAAGAACTAAAAGTAGAACTGCCATTTGATCCAGCAATCCCACTACTGGGTATCTACCCAATGAGGAAAAGAACTCATTATACGAAAAAGATACTTGCCCATGCATGTTTATAGAAGCACAGCACAATTTGCAATTGCAAAAATATGGGACCAGCCCAAACACCCATCAATCAATGAGTGGATAAAGAAAATGTGGTGTATATAAACCAAGGAATACGACTCAGCCATAAAAAGGAATTAAATAATGGCATTTGCAGCAACTTGGAATAATGGTCTCCAATTCCATCCAAGTGAAGTAACTCTTCAGGAATGGAAAACCAAACATTGTATGTTCTTACTCATAAGTGGGAACTAAGCTACAAGGATGCAAAGGCATAAGAATGATGAACTTTGGGAATTTGGGGGAAAAGGTGGAGAGGGGTGAGGGATAAAAGACTACACATTGGGTGCAGTGTACACTACTCAGGTGATGGGTGTGCCAAAATCTCAGAAATCACCATTAAAGAACTCATTCATGTAACATAACCTGTTCCCCACAAACCTACTGAAATAAAATAAATAAAAAATACAAATAAGAGACGAAAAAAATTCCCAAAGTTTAGTGGTTCCAGAAGTATATTTTAAAAATGACCTCTAAGTAAAACATTACTTAGTAAATAAAGTAAAACATTACTGAAATGTTTCAATAGAAGTATTACAATTTCTTTCATTTGGATTTTGATGTAATTATCAAATATTGCTATATTTTCAAAACTTACCTGATATAGTCGCTACTTTAACTAATGTCCCATTTTCCTTCCAGTGAACATCATCAATTCCCTCAAAAAAGCAGGCAGCGCCTTGATTACACCAGAAAGGGGCATCCATTTCAGGTCGGAGATGGGGAAATGTACAGTTGCCAAGTTGGAAGAGTTCATACCATTCCATTGTGTAGTTCTTGCCAGTTAATGTACTCCTGAATCCAATGGCATCATGCATAATTTTCTGTGTAAACACAATACACGTATAAAAGCAACTGAGACATAACCATGGGTCCAGGTAACCTGATAGGAGAAAATGTGGCACATCACAAATGCATATCAAGTAGAACAGCTGTTCAGCTGTTCTTCCATGCTGCTATTGTCATATCCACTCTGTGGCCCCAATCTCCAGGCCCTCCTCCACCCTGGCTTTGGTCCCTACAGCTCATTTCAAATAGGAGGCATGCATATTATGTGGACAAGCTAGTAATTTCCTCAGAGCTTAGAATAAGTGTGAGGAGCCCCCTGCCGGTCTCCGGAAGGAGCTCTACAGACCTCGCGTGGTGATGGGTTAACCTGGAAAAGTGACTACAACAGGATCTGGAAATCAAGAGGTGCTTTCTGCCTACCCTGCCCCTTCTGGGCCTCTTCTCATCTTCCAGGAGCTGGATACAGGAGCTAGGTTCAGATTCATTATATTACAACGGATAATGGTGATTACATTTGTTGTTGTCAAGATTATAAAATCTAATAGTAACTATTTTTAACTACTCATTTTAAATGTACTAAGAGAAACACCAACATGATCTAAAGTCAGCCATCTAAGTAGTGATTACTCCCTAAAAATGAACTTAATAACCAAATCATTGAATTAACCAAAGTTGTAAGACCAAGATGCATCCTTACCAAGTGTCCCAGGAGGTCTCCATATTTAAATTCCCATACTGGGGCTTGTAATCGAAAGACTTCAATGTCATCATCACCCTCCATAACTGGGATAGGTGAGCCAGTTGGACAGAAAGTATATTTAGCTTGACAATAAGGATCAGGTTTTGGACGGGAGTCAAAGCGTCTAATAAAGAAAAATAAACCATCTACTTAGATTCCAACAGGAATTTGATTCTTCTCCCATCTTTTAGAATCCAGTAACATTTTTAGGGGACCATTCAAAGGTCAGACCATAGTTAATAAATATAAACATACATTTTGTTATCTTGTGAACAAACTTCCAATAATCTTTTTAATAGCAAATGATAAACTCAAAGCACTCTGATAAATCCAGGCTTCCCTGTTCCCTGATCCCACTGTGAAAATTTTGAAGACAGGAATCCTGTCTTAAAATTTTATAGCTCCAGGTCATAGTAGACATTTGCAAATGTTTACAGAATAAATGAACATTTTTCCAATGTGTTCAATTTTACAAACAATCCATACATTAAGATTATTCAGATGATGAGTAATAGTATATATTTTATATTTACTTACGAATTAACATTCATTCAACCAATATGTATTGAGGTTCTACTAGGTATACAGGGAACTATGGGAAGAAGGAGGGAAACAGAAATTAAAACACTGTTGCTTTTCTCACGGAACTGTGGGTGGGAGCTGCAAAGACATTAAACAAGTAATGAGTGTGGGATGTGCTAGACTAAAGAAAGGAGTTCTACCGGCACAAAGGAAGGACAAATCATTGTTAACCAGGTATGGGATGAATGGGGTGGGGAGGGCAAAGAAAGAGATGAAGGCCGGGCCTAGGTTTTTAAGGTACTTGGCTAGAAGGTTAAGACAGAAAGGCAGAGGAAATATTAAGTATTATAAGACACGCCTGGCACATTTGGTCTCCGGTAGGTACGGAAGACTAGGATTCAGGCTTCAATGCACGAGTGGAGACAGAAGAGACTGGCAGGGGCTGTCATTCTGTCACTAGGCGAATGTGCATGGAATTCCCTGCCTTACAACTGGGGGGAGCTAAGCTTAAAGGATGTTAAGTAGCAGATCTGATAGGACTGAATTTGCTATAAAGTAAACCTTATTTCATGAATTAAAAGAGGGTAGGGAGAGAGGCCAAATTAAACATGAGAGATCAGTTAGAAGGTGACCTCAACAATGCAGGCAAGAAAAGAAGACCGGAGAAGGCCATAGCAATAGGACTCGAGGAGCACTGCAGTTGAATTCAGCTCAGCAGACAAACTGGTCACCTATAATCTGGCATTGGGAAAGAAGGAAGTGGTGGCGACAACAGCTTCTATCTAAGAATCCTAGATCCCCAAGCCAGATCTACTGTTTTACAATCCCAACAAATCAACAAAAATTTCTATTTTAACTTAAGAAGTTAAAATCTTTATGCTGACCAAAAATATTAACAACGCTCCCAAAACTTTCTGCCACTTGGGTACAGTGTTTTATAGGCACTTACCTGGTTTAAACAAATACATAATCACATAGAGATTGCACTGACCCACAGCAAAGTCTATTTTAGTTCAAAGGTAATTTAAATGGGAACTTAATAAACTTAAATATTATATTCAATTGAGGGGATTAGATGGGGGCATGTACTTAATATCTGAGACTTAAAAAAAAAATCCACTAAAAAGCTATGGTCAACACCTTGCCCTAATGTTAAATCAAAGCGTTTGGATTTACAATTCTTGTTCTATTGAGTAATTTTGACTTCTTACAAACATTTTATTATTAACATTTTCCAGAAAACTAGTTTCAACCACAAACTTCTCTTTCCACGTAGTATACCACACGAAACAAAAAAGTGTTGCAAACCTTTCAGTGAGCAGAACCACTATCTAGATTTGATAACAGCTGGCATTCTGCTAGATTTAATCCTTCCAGCAAACCGATAAGTGCTACCAGTATTCCTATTGTGTGACTCAGGGCATGTGGGCACAGAGATTCTGAGTAACTTTCCCAAGATCCCTGGTGATGATGGAGCCAGATTTGACCCGCAGCAGGCAGAACCTAAAACTCGCTCCTCACAAAGAGGAAATCCTGCCTTCCCACTCATACTGTCATGCAAAATAGCTGTTTTTATTTTTCAGGTTTGTTGTGTGCAGTTTTAGCTGTTGATTACTTATGCTGGTATGTTAAAATTATGTCCATTATAAATTGAATTAAAATAATGATGCTTTTGGTTTAAAGAAAAACAGCTGTTTTCAGAAACTGCAGGTCGTTCTCCTGCCTGATGTTGACACCATGTTTTCTTTCTCTGTGTTTAGCTATCTCTGACCGCCGGAGGCTGTGTCTTCTCTGTCAAAGGCTGGAATCGGCCTCCCAGGAGTGCGGGCCCTGTCCTCGTCTTAGGACCGGCGTCCTACCTCCAGGCTGAAGACCGGACAAACGCGATGACTATCTTCCCGGTCTAACCAGGACTGCAGGAGACGGAGATTCCGGGATGCGGGACTTTTGAGTGCAAAACTGGGAAGTTCCAATAAGGACTTCGGATCGGGTTCTGATCAGGTTCAAACCAGAGCGAGTTGGTCGCCCAGTAAATTGTACCAAATGTTCTGCAGTAATAACTAAAGACAGTGCATGATATAAATAAATGCGACAGACAGTGTTTTTAAACTACTCAATAAATCAGCGACTTGTATCCAGAAATCCCTCCATTAAATAACATTACTCTCCTTTTCTGCTGCCACGATTCGGGACTGTCCTGAGTCTGCCGCAAGTGGCCAGAGGGAGGAAAGGTCCCAGGGCTGTGCATAACAAGCGGCTGCGACTCCCCAGTCCTCAACTTTGCTCTCAAGTGCGCTCCGAGCATCACCCGGCGCTGCCCCCGCGCCGTCTCGTGATCCCACACAAACCACTGTGCGCGGGGCTCCCCGCGCGAGCACCCCGTCCCCCATCGGCAACGCCGACTGCGATCCCGACCCCGACAGTGCGCGTGCCGCCGCACTCACTTGTAGGGCACCGGCCAGTGGCGCCGGGAGAGAACGCCCGAGGCCCGGGGCCAGCCCGGAACCGCCGCGAGCCAGAGCAGCGCCACGGCCGGGCACCAGGAAGCGCGTCCCCGAGCCGCGCCCGCGCCCCGTCGCATCTTGGCGCCCTGTGCGGTGTCTAACTCCGGCGCCATCAGGCTGCACCCAGTGCTTCCGGATCCTCTGGAGGCCTGCGACGCCTGAGGGAGGAGCATGCGCGGAGCCGCCAGCCCAGGACGCGGGACGCCCCACCCCGGCGAGTCAGGCCCAGAGCTTGGCAGCAAGCGCAGGTTCCGGCGCGTGACGCCTCCCCGCACCCTGCCCGCGGCGGCTGCCGCACTTTTCAGTCCAGGAGGGCGCTTTGGTCTGGCTCCCAGGAGAATTCGATCCAGACCTGGGGCCTCTTCTTTTATGAACTGACCTCTCCCTGCCCAGCAGCCACCACCAAAACCGAAAATCTGTCACTGGGGCTCCTCCCAACACCGAACTTTTACCCCATCACACAGGGCCCACGCTAGGTGTCAACAAACGTTGAGTGAATGAGAATGTGTATTTGGGGCTGAGGGTGCGGAGCTGGGGGTGCAGTAAGGAAGAAGAGACAATAGTGGGGAAATGGCTTGTCCTCACCCGACCTGGGCCGGTGATAACAGTGGTTAACACTGACAATATGTGGTCCCTGCCACTCCCCAAGAGCTTAGTGGGGAAATGACTTGTCCTCACCCGACCTGGGCCAGTGATAACAGTGGTTAACACTGACAATATGTGGTCCCTGCCACTCCCCAAGAGCTTAGTGGGGAAATGACTTGTCCTCACTCGACCTGGGCCAGTGATAACAGTGGTTAAACACCGACAATATGTGGTCCCTGCCACTACCGGAGTGCTCCCGAATCCACCCCCTCCCCTACTGCTCCCGCCACCGCCAACGGCAGGTGTTCCTTGCTTGGATCTGTCACTTAACTGGAAAGAAGCTTCTGCATCACCTTCTCTTCTCTGACTCTTCAACCATGTGGAGAAAACAATGGCATCAATTACCTGACTTTTGAGGAGCCTCTCATGGCTTGCTTTGCTGTTAGGCACAAATACTGACTTAAGTCTGTACGTAGTACATTCAAGGCCTTGCCATAGTCTCTTGTTTTTACCAGAGAGCAGTTTTGCAGAGCCTTAGACCGGGACTTTCCAACTCTTTCACTTCACCCACAACTCGTGTGAAGCATCATAATGTTTGTAAGGCTATGGGAATAAGCAAGGTGGCTTCAGTAGCCAGGGATGACCACCACAATCCATTGGAGGGTGTGTGGCTTGTGGGGGTGTCACTGACTTCCTCGGACCCTCCAGATCTCTTGATTACAGATGGGACTGAGTACCCTGCCCTGAACACACACTCCTTTGCCCACTTGCTGCACCAGGTGCGAGGCTTCTGCGAGGTTCAGACCGGGCTGCATTTTCCCACACATCTGTCTGAGCGTTTTGAAAGCTACCTAGCTCTCCTCCCTATACTATGGCCAAATTCAAAACTACCAAGGCTAAACTGGCTTCTTCAAAGACCTGCCCAAGTAAGAGCGGGAAGCATTCTAGCCCTGAGAGCTGACACCTAGTATCTGATTTGAAGGGCACCTGAAGTATTCCCTGTGGACCCACACTTGAGCCTGGCTTAAAAAGCAATTAGCAGGAACAGCTTAAAAACAAAACCAAAACAAAACAAAAAACATGAATTAGAGTGTTTACAAATCCTGGAACCATACACTAGAGGGCCACAGTAGAACCTCCCATTCAGTTCAAGACTTCCCAGAGCTACAAAAACAAATTCAGGTTGACCTGGTTCAGTGGTGGAGACCTCTGGTCCTGCTTCTGCTGTCTCTGTCTCCTCACTCTGTGTGCGGGGAGCTCTCATGGTAAGAAAGCACTTCCTGGTATTGGATTTATTTATTTATTTTTTTGGAGACGGAGTCTCCTTCTGTCGCCGAGGCTAGAGTGCAGTGATGTCATCTCGGCTCACCACAACCTCCACTTCCCAGGTTCAAGCAATTCTCGTGCCTCAGCCTCCCTAGTAGCTGGGATTACAAGTGTGTGCCACTTGTAATTTATTTATTTATTAGAGACGGTGCTTCACCTTCAAGTTGGCTCCTCGGTCCCAGGAACACCATAGCCAGAGGCCCCTACCTCAGAATTATTTTCAGCTTTGAGAGCCAGATGTGGTGGAAGAGGCCCTCCCATGGTTGTTGGTAAACCTCCTTCAGCATTTACTGTAGTGTCAGGAGTATCAGTAAGTGGGGCCAGAGATGCTACCCCAAAAAGCTGGAACTTCTTCACTCTTTATTTCATTTATTCGAACCAAATAGTTAACAAAGTCTCTGCCAGCATTGCTCTGTGCATCTTTTTTATTGGTGGAATTTCCTATGCCAGTGTAGTTATACCCTTCCACCTGAACCTCACACATGAATTTCTGCCTATTTTTGTTCCCCAATGCTCTAATTTCATAGGATGGGGTCATCTTCCTTTTGCCACGCCAGGCATAGAGAAAATTTTTAACATCACCCATGATTGAAGTATCTTCTTCAGATCAGCCTACGCTTCCCGGTGCCCAACTCTTAGGACCATGTGGCTCTGGCCTTCCACGGAGACAACAGAGACACACACAGCAACTTGCATAAAGGAATCGGCAAAAATAAAAAATAAAAAATTTTAAGGAGAAAAGAAAGGAGGTTGTTATGACACTTTATGATTTGCTGTGGTTTGAGAGAAATATTGTTTTCTGGTAATTTTGAGGCTGGTTTTATCAGTCCGCGCTAATGAATACCGGGGCAGATTAAAGTCCAAGCTGATTTTTAGTTTCTCACTTACAATCTCATTTTTTATCTTAGGCGTTAAAAACATTATTCTGAGAAGGAACTTCACCAGTTTGCCTAAGAGCTCTGGCCTTAGACACACTAATTTTCTACTCCTTTTTTTTTGTAGGACAGGGTCTCACTTTGCCACCCAGGTTGGAGTGCAGTAGTGCAATCACAGTCACTGCAGCCACAGCCTCCTACCTCAAGTGATCCTCCCATCTCAGCCCCTATAGCAGCTGGACTACAGGAATGTACCACCATGCCCAGATAATTTTAAATTTTTTTGTAGTAATAAGGAGTCTCACTATGTGCCCAAGCTGGTCTCTAATTCCTGGGCTCAAGCGATCCTCCTGCCTTGGCCTCCCAAAGTGCTAGAATTAAAGGCATGAGCCTGGCCCTGACACAAATAAGAGGTTAAGAAAATCTTGAAGGTAACCAAAAATTAACGAACCCCCAAAGTGTTTCTGAAACTTGGATATACTTACCTGTTGTTTACATGATTAACTGGTCTAAACAAATACATCAACTATATGTAGGTTCTATTTTCAGAGTTTTGACAATTTCACTTGCCTAAAGCATAATTTATTTTAGTTCAAAGATAATTTTATTTTATTTTCATTTTTATTTTGAGACAGGGTCTCGCTCTCTTGTCCAGGTTAGAGTGCAGTGGCATGACCATGGCTCACTGCAGCCTTGACCTCTCAGGCCCCAGCGATCCTCCCACCTCACTTCCTGAGTAGCTGGGACTACAGGCCTGTGCTACCATGCCTGGCTAATTAAATAAAATGTTTTTGGTAGAGTCAGTCTCACTTTGTTGCCCATGCTGGTCTCAAGCTCCTGGGCTCAAGTAATCCTCTTGCCACAGCCTCCCAAAATGTTGAAATTATAGTCATGAGCCACTATGCCCGACCCAAAGATAATTTTAAAAGCATAATTTAAGTGTGAATTTAATAAAATTAAAATTTATAATATTCACTTAAGGAAGAGATTGGAGTGTGACATCTACTCATT